TTGCACAGAAGCTTTCACCTAGAAATACGGGACATTTGTTCACTGAGCCACAATATGCTGTTTTGAAAAACTCAGTATTCAATAACATTCTTTTGTCTAGAATCATGATTGAAATTGGAAACTTTCATTTTATCATGCCAAGTGTGAATGGAGAGATTTATTTTACTCAATACAATTAAATGTTTTTTTGTTATAATGCCACCGCAGCTAATTGCAATAAACACAAATGAAAGAGAATCTCTTTTCTTTCTTTTTCTTTCTTTTCTCTGTTCTTGTTTATTGGCATTTTTTGTTTCAGTGGATTTTATGAACGGTATGTGCAGTCATACAGTCCATGTAATTATAGAAAGTGTGGTTGATTTACTAAATGCAAATGGTTTGTTCATTTTGCAAGGGAATTTTCTCCAGAGCTTAGTGAATGTGATGCAATTTTACAAAAAAAATACCCAATCGCACACAAGGATTTTTTTGCTTACTTGTGATTGGATGATGGTAGTCAGCAGAGCTTCACCTCATTCATTAACCGCTTCCCCGCTGCCCTATATCAGAAATATTTCTACAGGGGGGAAGGGGTGCGCAAAATCACGTATATATATATATATACGTGATTTTGTATTTCCGGGTAAGGGGCACGAGCCGCGCGCGCGCACCTTACCTGCGCCGCCATTCGGGTCCCGGCCGGTGATTACCAAGCATTTCCTCCTGGGAGGAGGACTGCTTTGTTTACTAACAGTCCTCCTTCCTGTTGGCTCAGGCACACTGCTCTGGATGGCTGTGCACAGCACAGCCATCATGCGCAGTGTGCTTACAGTGAAGCACCAACACACCACCCCATAGTAAAACACTCCTAGCACACAGTTAACCCTTTGATCGCCCCTCATGTTAACCCCTTCCTGCCCAGTGCCATTAGTATAGTGTCAGTGACTTTTTTTTAGCACTGATCGCTGTATTGGTGTTACTGGGGATGTCAGTGACACCAAGTCAGTTCCCCCCCAGTGTCAGAATGCCCGCGGCAGTCCCGTTATAAGTCGCTGATTGCCGCCATTACTAGTAAAAAAATTCCCGTATCTATACCGGCATTTGTAGACGCTATAACTTTCACTTAATACAATTAATTTACACATATTGAGATTTTTTTTTAGCAAAGACCTGTAGCAGAATACATTTTAGCCTAAATTTGATTGATTTTTTTTTTTATTTTTTACTGGACATGTTTAACAGCAAAAAAAAAATTCAAATATATTGTTGTTTTCTCAAAATTACCTGTCTTTATTTTTAAAGCGCAAAAAATAAAAAACGCACAGCCGATCGAATAGTACCAAAAGGAAGCTGAATTTGTGGGAAAAAAAGGACGTAAATTTCATTTGTATGCAGCGTTGCATGACCGCGCAATTGTCAGTTAAAATAATGCAGTGTTGTAATGCAAAAAATGGTATGGTCAGGAAGGGGGTTAAATCCTCAGGAGGGTAAGTGGTTAAAGTAGAATCCGAGCCTAACACTAACTAGCCTTAAAAATGTCTTCCCCTCCCCATGCTACTTATGCTGACTAACCTTAGTAAAACAGATGTGTATACTTACAGTACCTATTTTCAGCCTGCTCCGGTATGATTACATGATCCCGCTCCCCTGTGTCATTCAGCAGCAGCTGCAGGGGGGAGGAAGGAGCGGCAACAATGGCAGAGACATGAGATCCTATGAGCGACATCACCACTCCTGCAATTACCAGCCATTCCTGACCTCTTCCTCCTCTTCCCTGCAGCCGCCGCTGACTTAGACAAGGGATCACGTGACCGGACCTGAGGCTGAAAATAGTATTTTTTTATACAGGTTAGTCAGCATAGGTAGCAGGAAGAGGATATTTTTAAGGCTAGTAAGTGTTGGTCCACAATGATGCAATTTCTGATGCGACTTGAGTTGCACAGAATCACATGACAAAGGAAATCACATTATTTTCAATGGTACCCATTCACATCAATGTGCAGTGCAATGTTGGAAAAGGTTCCTCTGCTATGCTGATGCAATATCAGTGTGATTTGGCTCCATAATGCAACCTACATTCAAAGTTGCACTACATAATTGCACTGAAAATCGCATCACAGTAGTGTGAACTGAGCATTAGTGTTAGGCAGGAATTTTACTTTAAATTCTAAGATATTAAAAGAGGTATAGACTCCAGAGAGAGAGATATCATATTACCCGGTACAAATCATTAGTAACACCTCATCTGGAATATGCAGTTCAGTTCTGGGCACAAATTCATAAAAAGAACATTGGGGAACTGGAGAAAGTACAGAGAAGGGCAACCAAACTGATAAGAGGCATGGAGGAGCTCAGCTATGAGGAAAGATTAGAGGAATATATAAATATATATATACATCAGTGGTTCATATAGGGAACTCGGTGTAGAGTTATTCACCCTGAGGTCATCGCAGAGGACAAGGGGGCACTCTTTACATCTGGAGGAAAAGAAATTTAATCTCCAAACACGGAAAGGTTTCTTCACAGTGAGAGCTGTGAAAATGTGGAATAGACTCCCTCAAGAGTTGGTTCTGGCCAGCTCAGTGGATTGCTTCAAAAAAGGCCTGGATTATTTCTTAGATACACAGAATATAACTGGATACTAACATTTATAGGTAAAGTTGATCCAGGGAATATCTGATTGCCTTTTGTGGTGATCAGGAAGGAATTTTTTTCCCAGCAGGAGCAAATTGGATCATGCTTTGCTGGGTTTTTTTCCTCTGGATCAACTGTGGGTATAGGATTCTAACTTTTTTAATGGTTGAACTGGATGGACTTTTGTCTTTTTTCAGCCAGACTAACTATGTAACTATGTAAGGATAATTCTCTTCCAAAGTGCAACCTCCCTTGTTAAGCAAACAGTAGATTGCCTTAGGTAAATTATTATTATTATACAGGATTTATATAGCGCCAACAGTTTGCTCAGCGCTTTATAATATAATGGCAACAATACAGTTCAATACAAGAGGGTTAGGAGGGCCCTGGTCCTTGGAGCTTACAATCTAAGAAATCAACCGCATTGTGTAGCCCGAGACTCACAACTTTCAGAATACAAAAATAAACACATAGATTGGTAAATTTACACTATGAATATTGTAGCAAGCCTAAAAAGTTGGATGTTGGGATTTGTTAGTAGCAGAATATGAGATACATTTTTTCTGGATGACAAAAGATGTGGTGCTCCCAAAACATTCACAGCAGGTGAAGAAAATATATTGCAGATGTCCCAAGTGTATTACAAAGTCCCCAAAAAAGGAAGCCAACAGGCGAAGGATATCTGGCACTTGAGGTGTTAATGATTCCAGCTGCACTTCGCACTCAGAATCAAGGAAAATCCACCAACATCAGGCAACATGAAAGAAAACAGCAGGGGTGTATGTATGTATTAGTATCTTGCACTCTTTAATCAGTAAAAACCTAGTATCCACTTACAGTTAAATTAGCTTCAGCATACAGATTACTGATTAAAGGGTACAAGATACTAAAGCATCCATGTGCCCTTGCTGTTTTCTTTAATGTTCTTTTTTGTGGATGTCGTTGTACATCCAAATAAGTTACCGATAGGGCCTATGGACCTAAAGGGGAGCGCACATTATGGATATATTTCAAATATATTATGGTATGGCGCACAGGACCTTGGAATGTATTTGGTGTCATTAGACCCAGACTATGAAAAACTCTCTCAGTACATGTTATTTAACAGAGTGTGCCTACTCACAAAGCCACAAATGCATTTGTTTTGTGTAGAGAGAAATATACCTTATTGATTCTACTATCTGCTGTCTCTCCTGTTTTCTCTGTGTTCCCATTGCAGCCTGAGATTAGTTATACCAGCTGGTGTCCTCTACTGAGCATGCTCATATTTCAGTTCACTTCTAAGCTCTTCAATTCCTTCTTTTTCTTATCTGTGCAGCCCACGTGACTATAGAGCAGTGCTTCTCAATTATTTTCTGTCATGCCCCCCCCTAGGAAGAAGAAAACATTTTGCGCCCCCCGCGCGACTGTAAATAGTATCATTTGTCTATAAAATTGTTATAAGTAGGAATAGTGCCCCATCGTTGGTGTCAGTGGGAGGAATAGTGCCCCATCATTAGTATTAGTGGGAGGAATAGTGCCCCATCATTGGTATCAGTGGGAGGAATAGTGCCCCATCGTTGGTGTCAGTGGGAGGAATAGTGCCCCATCATTGGTATCAGTGGGAGGAATAGTGCCCCATCGTTGGTGTCAGTGGGAGGAATAGTGCCCCATCGTTTGTGTCAGTGGGAGGAATAATGCCCCATCATTAGTATCAGTGACACCAATGATGCGGCACTATTCCTCCCACTGACACCAATGACACTTGCTGACCCCTGTTGCAGTATGGTGCTGCTGCAGCCAGCATATGTGGTTGCAGCAGCACCTCTGCACTGCACACTTACCGGCTTTTCCCTCACTCGATTTTCGCGGGTCCGCTCGGCTCCGCCTCCTCGCCCGTGATTGGCCGCCTGTGTACCTTTCCTGAGCTACAGTTCTGGCGGCCAATCACCGGTGAGGAGGCGGAGCCGAGCGGCAGGAGTGAGGGAGTGGCCGGAGTGACGGAAGGAGCAGCGCTACCTGGATGGATCATCGTGGGAACCAGGTAAGAGACAGCAGCCCTCTGCCCACCCCTGTACTTAGTGTCCCTTCTGTCGGAAGGGGGGGGGTGGCGGCGGCACTGCGCCGCCCCCCTAAAAAGTTCCACCCTAACGTATACCGGCGTATAAGACGACCCCCGACTTTTGAGAAGATTTTCAAGGGTCAAAAAGTCGTCTTATACGCCGGAAAATACGGTATGTTCCCCGAGGTCAAACGCGCTCCCCTTGACGGAGCCTCGAGCCACCCCTGGGGGGCGCGCCCCACTATTTGAGAAGCACTGCTATAGAGTCACATATGTGGTAAATGACACTCCTCTTCCTCCTCCTCTTCCATGTCCTCCTATTGCTAAGCACTGTGAGGGCCGGATGTAGTATGCTGATTAACCCCTTCACGCCTAAGGGTAAACTAAATCTTAGTGCATAAGCACAATTTTGCAACGTTGACATGTGTTAGTAAAACTGTACATATCATAACAACTGCTTTGTACATCCAGGTGAATTATACCTGTTTTTTTTTCAGGACAAATTGGGCTTTCACTTGGTGGTAAATAGTATTGGATATCTCCTGATTTTTTTTTATTATCAAAGGAAAACTGGCCCAAAATAGTAAAAAAAAATTCTTTTTAAATTTAGCTGTGTGTTTCTTGTTACTACCATGACCTACCACCAAAGAACAACCCAAAATACATTTTACAGCTCTTGACAATCGCACCAATACCATATATGTGTATGTTATGTGTGTTTTTTTTTTAATTTTTTAAAATATTTATTTATTTATCCTTTTTTTTAACAAACTGTTTTTTTCCCCTCTATGCCAGGAGTTAGAGAGATATAATGTATCTCTCTCCTCCATTCACAGAGAGAGAAAAAATAAACAAGGGGGGGGGGGCAGGCTGTACAGTGACTGATCACTGTGATAGCCAATCAGAGGCTATCACAGCGATCATGTGACCTGGAAACGGGAGTCCGGGGTCTCGATCGTTAGAACGAGCCCCATGGCTCTCAGTGACACTCTGGTCTTTGTGCTGGGAGCGCGCAGTGTGGTGTGCTCCCAGTACAAAGACAGGTACGCAAATATGTGGCCCCACGGAAAAAAAAAATCCCAGTTCTGTGTATTTGTGTTACATCGGCGTCAAGGGGTTAATTGCATTTACTAAAAAAAAAATCACATAAAATCTTAGTTTTAATATAAATCTGTATTGAATATATCAAAAGTATTTGATAATACCTGTAAAGTAAAAAATAAGTCGTGGATACAGATGCTGTACAAATGTTAATTTTTTGTGAATTAATTATGGTGTAGTAACAAATATTAATTCACAAAAAAATACACATTTGATGTTCAATAAAGATTTCTAGGGGTCAGGGCTGTGCAGAAACAGACTCATGCTGTACAGAGCATACATCAGCATAATAAAGGAAGCCCCTCACAAGGATTCCCTTCAGATGACAATGAACAGGGAAAGATCATTATTTATTTATTTCAGGTACTTATATAGCGCCATCAATTTACACAGCGCTTTACATATATATATATATATATATATATATATATATATATATATATATATATTGTACATTCACATCAGTCCCAACCCTCAAGGGGCATACAATCTAAGGTCCCTAACTTACATTCATACATACACATACTAGGGGCAATTTAGACAGGATCCAATGAACCTACCAGCATGTCTTTGGAGTGTGGGGAAAACCGGAGTACCCGGAGGAAACACATGCAGGCACAGGAAGAGCATACAAACTCCAGGCAAGTGGAGCTGTGGCTGAGAATCAAACCAGCGACCCCAGTACTGCCAGGCAGAAGTGCTAACCATGTAGCCACTGTGCCGCCCAATCATGTCACTAAACAACAGCGCTGCAGGAATAAGGTGCTTAGAAGATTTAAAAAAATACAGTGGCATGATATATATAATTTATGTTAATGAACTATGGCAATTAACACTTTAAGGACAGAACCCAGCAGTGCTTTGGTGAGATACTCTACAAGGGTTAAATCATTCTAAAGGGATGTAGACACTGTAGATTTTCTCATTAGAACACTGAAAATGTACCAGGTGATTATAATGAACCAGACCTTCCTATTCAGAATCAGTCTCAGCATGATACAACAGACAGCTTTTTCTTCAGAGCAAAAACAGATAGGAATCTGCAACAAAGTTTCTTAAAATCCTTGCAATGTACATTGCTTACCCAGGGAGGGTTATTTATTCTTAACAAAAGTGGACTTACTTAATCATGAAGCCTTTAAATGTGTACAGTGTATGGCCAGGCTGATTAGGGCTTCTGTTTGCTTAATCTGCCTTGAATGTAGTGCAGCAAATCACCATGCTAATGAAAGAGAATCAGTCACTTTGTCCATTTAAAATGCTCTTTGGAAAAAAAAATTGGTAGATTTATGAATAAACATTCATGTGAACATCCGTACGAAAATTCTTATCAGTACATTCGATGACTTGATGAATGTCATTAAAAAGTACTGCAGAATTGTGCTTGCATTCAACATTAGATTTTGGGATGAATGTCATTTCCTGAATAAAACCTATATTTATGTTAGAAATTTGTTCGTTTGAGAAAAATTTTCCATCCTGCTCCTTCAAAGTTTCTCATCACTGTGGTCAAAAACAATAACTGATGCGATCCGCTTAATGATTTGAAAATCAAAAGAACGCTCTTGAAACAAAAAATTTTAAACAAAATTATTCTAATGTATGGCCAACTTTACCTACTTTACCTTTGGTCCATCTAAAGCTACAAGCCCAATTAGGACTACCCTGTCTACAGGGTGACAATGCTTCTGTAGTGCTTAACCACGAATGATGTGTCAGGTCCACTATTCTTGTGCCACAACTCTGTGAACAGCTCAGTACTCTCTGGCACACCTGAAGGGGCAAGAGACAGTTGCAGCCACCTATACATGCACAAATACAAATATCCAGCACGCAACTTTGGAAAAACACCAGGAATTGATACCAAAACTGGTTGACTACACGTAGAGTATAGGGTAAGCGTAGATATCAAGGGTAAGCAACTGTGCAAGAATGAATCAATCAGTGAAAGAAAGGGTTATCACTCTAAATACATTAACAGTCATTAGCCTTAAATATAGTGGCTCCCACTTGACATTTATGCCACAAAAGTACATCAAACAAAGAATAATATCAGCAATAAAACAAAATCAATATGTTAAGACAATAGCGAGACAGGGTAGATTTAGATATGAGTCTAACTCTCCCCTGCCTCTGAAGCCCAATCTGCATTAGGATCGTGCTCCAGAGGATACTGACAGGCGGTGAGGAAGCGATACAATATCTCCCCACCCACTCTTTTAACCACCTGCATGTGGTTGCGGGGTATTTTCAGTGCTCTCCCAGGACTGCCGCAGCCATGAAGCATCACAGCCATGGCGTGAAAACATCCTCATCCACTACATATTGCAGTTTAAGGGAGGAGTGGTTGGTGGGCAGCAAAAACGCAGCTCAGTTGCACAACACTAGTCTAAATTAGGCCTTAATCTGTCTGGTAGCAATTAGTGAATGTCCCAAAAGCGCACTCTGCAAAGGGTTTTTTTGGCTATAAAGAAACTCTGTGGGTGATCACCATGAAAGCAGTTAGTAATTAATCTACTCCATGCTCTTAACCCTCTCCCGGCTAAGTGGTGGGGCCCAGTCTTTATGTTGGTGCACTTAAGTATTATCCTTTAGGGATTCAGCATGCACTGGTATAGCGTTCTTAAGTGAAAGTTAGTCTCCCTCTGTAGTGTGAAACCAGCAAGTGGCTGCTCACCAGTCCTGTGTGCACAGCGGACTCTGATTCACATTCTTGGTAACAGGGGACTTCTCTGGCGGTATCCTACAGTGTGGGTCTCCTCTATGCCTAACCAGTTCCCAACAGATTAGTTAATGGTCTCTGGACCAAAGATGATGGCCCTTACTGCACACAGCTAGGATGACGAGTACGTTGCCTCGATCGTCCTGCAAAAACAGACTGTCCTTCCTTATTATTTTCAGGAAAAACAACGTATGGTTCCTCCCTTGCTATTCCCATTCCTGGGAATCTTTCCCCCCATCTACTCCTAGATTGTAAGCTATAACGAGCAGGTCCCTTTGTTTCCTCTTGTACCAATTGTACTGTAAATGTAGTGTCTACCTTCATTTTGTAAAGAGCTGCACAAACTGTTGGCGCTATATAAATCCTGTATAATAATAATAATAATCTGCTACAATAGCCAAGTACCTCCGCTGAACTCCATTTCCCAAAATCCATCACTTTTAATCTTCCAAGTATAACTTTGAGATCCACAGGTACCCTCTAGTGGATGAAAGTGCAGTAGCACTGGCTAGATCGGCATGGACATCCTGTGTAAACACATAGAGGTGCTGCAGCTTGGTGTCTGTAGTTGCTTCTTCTCTGCCAGCTAAACTTCTGCTCAATTTAATTGCATAATGAACTTTGTTACCCTGTTAAAGTGGTAGTAAACTTTTTTGTTATACTTTTACCTATAGGTAAGCTTATAATAAAGCTTACCTGTAGATAAGATGAAAATCTCCTAAACGTGCCCCTTTTAGGCGATATTCGCTCTTTTTGATAGCCGGCTCATGCGCTCTGAAGCACTGTGCCGTGTCCTGGGACTCCCATGCAAATGCAGCTCCACCAGACAGACGACCGGAGCTTGCAAACCCAAAAGGAAGACCAGGTGAAGATGGAAACACCGCAGCAGTGACAGCAGGCCACTGGAGAGCTTTGTTTTAAGGTAAGTCCTTCAAAATGTGCTAGTATGCAATACATACTAGCACAATTTGACATTACCTTGCAGGGGATTTTTTTTGTAGCTGCAGTTTACGATCGCTTTAAAGGAAGTGAAAAATAAGAGAGCTACTAATTTAATCTCCAAACACGGAAAGGTTTCTTCACAGTAAGAGCTGTGAAAATGTGGAATAGACTTCCTTAAGAGTTGGTTCTTGCCAGCTCAGTGGATTGCTTTAAAAAAGGCCTGGATTGTTTCTTGGATACATAGAATATAACTGGATACTAACATTTATAGGTAAAGTTGATCCAGGGAATATCTGATTGTCTCTCGGGGGAATTTTGTTCCCTGCAGGAGCAAATTGGATCATGCTTTGCTGGGTTGTTTTTGCCTTCCTCTGGATCAACTGTGTGTATAGGATTATAACTTTTCTTTTTCTTTTTTTTTTAATGGTTGAACTGGATGGACTTTTGTCTTTTTTTCAGCCAGACTAACTATGTAACTATGTACTGGCAGGATCAACAGTTAATGGACCACATTACCAAACACTGCCATGGTAATGCTATTCACAAATTGTGCCATATGTGTAACTTTTTTTTTATTTTGCACATTAATTGGATTTATTGGTTAGCTCCCTTTTCTTCTTCCTTGTCCAGTTAGAAGCAACTGATAAAATGGTTTACACGTTGTTTTCTCAATATTACATCTCTAGAAGCTGCTTCCAAAAACTTGCCAAAATTTGAGCTCACAGATGATGAACCTCTTTAATTATTTTGTACTTTTAATGCCTAGATAAACATACTATTTGGCCATAGAATTCACCTACTGAATAAACATATTTGTAGACTTGGGGCTATGGCCCTAACAATTCCTAATAAACGCTGTACTTCTGCTAAAGTGTTCGTGCATGACTGCATATAATTAGATGCTAAGTTGTTAAGCTAGAATTTCAAAATGTTTCATAATAACTTATGCATGACCATATA